TCCACCTGCCTGCTCACACCTCAGGATTGCTGTCCCCTGGGGCCCACTGGTCCTTAAACCTTGCTCCTGGGGAAGCTCTTCCCAAGACCTGCCCCCATCCTGTGGACCCCATCAGCCTGCACCCCACCTGGCCAGCACCACCCCTCTTTCTGCATGCACTCCCTGCCAGGCTGGGCGCCCAGTGGGCAGTGAGCCCCTAGCTTGGGTTTATTAAAACACATACCCTAAAAATTTGTTTTTATTTGGAACAGCCCCTGACAACAAGTATTTTTCAAACCAGCCACCTTCAGCCCTACAAAGAAAAGTGCCCAGATGCAGCTGAGCCCATCTGGATCCTATTTCAAACCAGAGCTGACACTCTCAGATGTGTAATGAAAGCACTTTACCAAAGAGGGGCTCCTGCAGGGGGAGTACGGACACCAGGGCACCGGGCCTTCAGTGAGCCACGCTAACGAGAGGGCCACACTAATGAGAGGCAGCGAGGGCTTTGGGTTTTGTTTTGGATTCCTGCAAACAGCCGGGCCTGCCCCCAGGTCTCTGTGGAAGGGCAGTTGGGGGTGTGGAGCACTGACCCCTGCCTGGGAAGTGGGGTGGTTGCAGGAGGGAGGCAGGGACACAGCTTCCCTGGTTCCCTGGTGCTCCTGCTTCCTAAGGGCAGCGGGAAAGGCAGTGCTTGTTCTGGGAGCTGAGGCCACGGTGGCCCAGTTGGATCCTTTGAATGACATTAGCAAGAGGAGCAGGTGCTGGGGGAAGTGGAGCCAGCTCTGGGCCTGGAGCAGGGCCCCTGCAGGGTCAGGAGCTCTCAGAACTTCCTTTTTCTCTTTCCAGTCCTTCCAGCCCCAGGAAAAGGGGAACCAGGATGCTGGGAGGCAGGGGGCTGTGCATGGCCAGCTGTTTGTTATCTGGATTTGAGAAGAGAAGGGAGGTGGTGGAGAATAGTCCCAGCCCCCTCCCAGCTGGAAAAGTGGCGTTCAAGAAATAGCTTCCCAGGGAAGGGAAGAGAGGGGTTGCAGCCGGGCAGCCTGTCTCCAGGTGGCTCCTATTCCGGGGCTTAATCACTTCTATTGTTTTTTGGCAGGTGAGGCAGGCAGTGGGTGAGAAGGACTTCTTTTTGGACCGACAAGACCAGGAGGTGAAGCAGGAATAACTGCCCCCCCTCCCCGCCTCCCCAGCAAGAGACCTCTCTACAAACAGGAGCAGCCAAGCAGCACTGAGCCCCGAGCCCCCCAAGCATCTTCCCAAAGAGGGGCCTGTGGGGCCTGACAGCTCGGTGGCGCATGTCAGCAGCTCATCCCCCCGGTGAACATCTGAACTCCTCAGCGGGTATTGGACCCCCTCCTCCCCACCGGAGACACAGCCTGAGTGGCAGGAGTACCTAGTCTTTAGAGAGTGGCTCCCTCTCAGCTCTGTCACACAAGAGCGCTCTCTCCATCAGGGCCCATTCTGCCGAGTGACTTAAAGGGATTAAAAAAAGAGAAACTTGGTAAAGAAAAGGGGTAAAAGCCACACAGAAGCCTTTCGGAGAAGGTGGTGGCCAACAGACAAAAGAGCAAAAGTTGAAAGAAGGCAGCGAGAGGCCACCCTCCCGGGATGGGCGCCAGGCCATAGGGCATGCCTGGGGGGCCGGGGCCCAGAACATCCAGGGACTCCACGGGGGAGAGGCCAGCAGTGCCCGTGGCTTAGGGTGTGGAGAATGCTGCTCTGGACCCGCAGCCACGTCTGACCTTGAGCCCAGCAGAGTCCAGTACAGGGCTTCCTCCCTGTGCTCTGGGGCGACCCCAGCACCACCCAGCACCCCAGGTTTGCGGTCTGCACCTGAGTGCCAGGGCCGCGGGCCCAGAATGTGAGAGTGGCCCAAGCCCACCTGGACCCAAGCACAGCATCCAGAGCAGCCATCCCGGCCAGACCCAGCAGACTCCAGGGCTGCAGCGAAGGAGGTAAGGTGGATGGGGAAGGGCCCTGATGATCCAGGGAAGCCCACGGGCTCCTTGTGCCCAGAGAGGGCAGACAGATGAAACAGCTGGGGCCCACCCTCTTTCAGGCTGGGTCAAACTGGGGCCTCACAGAGCCCCCCAGGTCTGTAGCTCCATCCCATCCACCCACACATGTTCAGGCAACTGGCCACTTCTGCTTGCCAGGGGAGGAGTCACTTGCTACCTGGGGGCCCCATGCTGCTGGGCTGTATTTCTGGGTGGTGGGCCCAAGGTACAAGGGAGTGGCCTTTCTCCTTTCTTGGAGTAAACTGCTGGTGTTGTGT